CGGGAGCCAAGGGTTGCGCTTATTGTTGTTCAGACGGGCTACTCTCCCGGCTGGTGCAGGATGCAGGTGAGCTCCATTCTTTCCCGCGTGTCTGTAACAACGATTGGCATGGGGGCGAATTACACACACACATCCCGCCCGTCGTTGCTGCTGGACTGCATAGCTGACGAGGGCCTGCGCGATGAGGACGTGGTGGTGGTGTTCGATGGTGGCGACACGATGTTCACCGGACCCCTTGGGATAAAGCAGGCCGTGGAGGACTTTGTGGCAACAACAGCGCCCACCGCAGACGCCTTCAACGCCACGGCGGTGCATCGAGGTGAGGCAGCAGCCCCCTTGTTGTTTGAGAGTGACCCAGTCTGTTATGCGCCACAGATGGAACTCATGGTCCCATGGGGGCCTTCCGACACATACGAGAAATGCGGTTGGTACTACGAACGTGTATGGGAGGCCGCCAAGTCCTCTGCGGATCAGCGCATGGTGCGTTTTCTGGCGTCGGAGTACCGATTCCTTGCTGGTGGAGGAATGGTGGGGCGTGTGTGGGCATTTCGAGAGGCGTACAAAGCATATGCGAGCCTTTTGGCGACGAGTGATAAATGGTGGTGTGACCAGAGCATCTGGTCGCTGTTGCATGTGTGGAGCGTGACCCGGGACACGAATGTGACTGCCGATTTCCGCATACGATATGGTCTTCTGAGTCTTGACTACAACAACTCCTTCTTTCTCACACCGCGTTTCGGGGCCTTTGGGTCCCCGGCGTTGTACCACTTTCCCGGGCCCCCTTACTTGTGGGACAAAATGCCTACACTGCTGAACCGCACAACGTGGGTGGACTGGCTGCGTTATTCCCCTGACGTCATGAATGAGACCAGGGATTTTGTGCAGAATGCCACTGTGAAAATATACGACGCCGATCGGAAGGCAAAAACGATTCCCTTTCCTGAAGTCTGCTCGTTGAACGACGTTCTTAATCCTGAATGGTTGGTCCTTCCGCTGCGTAAATAATTTTTGCAGTGGCGATGCCTGGTGTGGTCCGCACAATAACACTGTGTGCGCGATGTACCTTGACGTATTGAACAGCTTGTGGAAGGATTGCGTCCGATGGTGCAACCCTTTCTATTATCCCCTATTAAAATGGAAACCTGTAATTCTTTTCTTTTTCTCTTTTTGTTTTATCTCCGGGGGATTGCGGATGCGTCGTGGTTGAGCCGCGTTGGAGGGTCAGACAATTCTCATTTTTTACCCCACCCACTCCCTCGGGCCCGCCTTGCTGCGGGGTCGTGGGCCATTGGGGGAAGGGCTTGAAAGGGACGCTCATTCGCAAGCCGCCCGGAAACCACTTCATATGTATGCACCGGGTTTGTCTCAGACAACCAGACCGTTGTTTCGCTGTTTTTTTCTCTCAAATTCGGGCAGCGTTTTGGCTTTTTGAAATTTTTCCAATGTTTTTTTTTTTAATTATTATTTGACTCTTAACAACTGAAAGCCGATTTTTCTTGTTTTGTTTTGTTTGGTTTGGTTTTTCTTTGGCTTAGAAAAACATTTTGGACTTCTTGGAATGTCATGAGACTCATATTCCGTTATTTTTTCCTTTTCTCCCCGCTGCTGCTGCTGCTGTGCCTTCCCACGTCCTCCCTGCCCACCAGCCCATCACCCCCCACCCTCTTCTCTGCCCTCCGACTGCTCCACTAGTCTCCAAGGCATTTCACAGGCAACAACCGAGGCAATGCGCCGCCGCACCATGACTGTCGTGCTCGTCCTCCTCATCCTTCTCTGCGGGGAGGATGTCCGCTCCGACTACTCGGTGCAGTTGGCAACGACGGCACTGTACTATGCGAAGACAGCGTACTGCAAGGCCGAAGCCATTTCCAACTGGACTTGTGCCTCCTGCGCCAGGAACCCGGGATTGCAAAAGGTGCGTGTATTTACGAATGCCACGCACAGCACGCAGGCGTTTGTGGGCGTCAACGAGAGCATGATTGTGGTAAGTTTTCGCGGGACAAGGGATATTAATAACTGGATAAACAATCTGGATTACATTCGTGTTGCGTACATACAGGATGGCTGCGTTGGGTGTCTTGTTCACACCGGCTTCGATTGCGAATTGAATTCATTGTGGGCGGAGATGTGGGGGTACCTACAGGAACTTGTTGCGGAGAAAGGAATCGAGGGAATTCTCATCACTGGACACAGCCTTGGCGGCGCCATGGCTACAATCGCCGCTGCCAATTTGATGTCGCAGAATTCCTTGTTTCCCAGTGCAGTGAAGGTTTTGCTGTACACGTTTGGGCAGCCGCGCGTGGGAAACGAGGCATTCGCCAACTGGCTTCTTGCATCGTTTTGCCGCGGCGGCCATGAGTTGTACCGCGTGACGCACAAGCGGGATGTTGTGCCCCACCTTCCCCCCATGTTTGTTGGGTATTTACACGTTCCCCATGAAGTATGGTACGACAATGACGGGGACACGGTGCACAAGAACTGCACTGATATCTTTGGCACACCGTGTTCTGCTTTGACCGCCAATGAGGACCCCAATTGCAGTGGCAGCATCTATCCCACTTCCATTGAGGACCACCTGAAGTATCTGGGTGTGTGTACAGCCTGTTCATGCGATCCTGGGGAGGCAATCAGCGACGAGGAGCTTCGCCTCCCACCGGAACTTGAACGGATTGTTGCAATGGACTACATTTATCAGCAATCGAGACACATGAGGCGTTTTCCGTCTTCCCCACGTTTTACAAAGAGCCTTGAGGCCCGCAGAAGAAAATAAGTATTTGCCAGTTATTAGTGTTGTGAATTGTTTTTGAATAGTTTTATAGGGTTTTTTTGTTCAAAAGCTTGTTTTATGTAAATGTAGAGCGACGGCTTGGTGTTTTTTGTGGAATGCCGTTTTTGGGCAGGGAATCCACACGCGTGGTGTCTGCTGCCTTCAAAAATGTAAGTGGTTTGGTGCGTTACGCACAGCCCCGATGAATGGCACGCTGACAGAAGCGAACATCCCCCGCTGCTGCTGCTGTGCCTTCCCACGTCCTCCCTGCCCACCAGCCCATCACCCCCCACCCTCTTCTCTCCCCTCCGACTGCTCCACTAGTCTCCAAGGCATTTCACAGGCAACAACCGAGGCAATGCGCCGCCGCACCATGACTGTCGTGGTCGTCCTCCTCATCCTTCTCTGCGGGGAGGATGTCCGCGCCGACTACTCGGTGCAGTTGGCAACGACGGCACTGTACTATGCGAAGGCAGCGTACTGCAAGGCCGAAGCCATTCCCAGCTGGACTTGTGCCTCCTGCGCCAGGAACCCGGGATTGCAAAAGGTGCGTGTATTTACGAATGCCGCGCACAGCACGCAGGCGTTTGTGGGCGTCAACGAGAGCATGATTGTGGTAAGTTTTCGCGGGACAGTGGATATTAATAACTGGCTACACAATCTGGATTATATTCGTGTTGCGTACATACAGGATGGCTGCGTTGGGTGTCTTGTTCACACCGGCTTCGATTGCGAATTGAAGTCATTGTGGGCGGAGATGTGGGGGTACCTACAGGAACTTGTTGCGGAGAAAGGAATCGAGAGAATTCTCGTCACTGGACACAGCCTTGGCGGCGCCATGGCCAATATCGCTGCTGCCAATTTGATGTCGCAGAATTCCTTGTTTCCCAGTGCAGTGAAGGTTTTGCTGTACACGTTTGGGCAGCCGCGCGTGGGAAACGAGGCATTCGCCAACTGGCTTCTTGCATCGTTTTGCCGCGGCGGCCATGAGTTGTACCGCGTGACGCACAAGCGGGATGTTGTGCCCCACCTTCCCCCCATGTTCGTTGGGTATTTACACGTTCCCCATGAAGTATGGTACGACAATGACGGGGACACGGTGCACAAGAACTGCACTGATACCTTTGGCACACCGTGTTCTGCTTTGACCGCCAATGAGGACCCCAATTGCAGTGGCAGCATCTATCCCACTTCCATTGAGGACCACCTGAAGTACCTGGGTGTGTGTAAAGGCTGCTTTTTTTTTTTTCAGTAAGTCGTTTTTGGGGTTTTTCAAGGAGTGTCTTGGGGTTACGGAGTGTCACAACTAATGTTTATTTTTGTGAGCTGTGCTCCCTACTTTTTTTTTTTTTGAGTGGGTGAAACTCTTTGGCTTTGGAGAGGGAGGCATTACTTTGATATTGCAAGACCCTTAGTGAATGCAAAGGTTTGCTTGTCCGTAATACGCGGTGCTGTTTATTTTCGTTTTTGTATGTGCCCTCATGCATCTTGGCCTCCCTTTAGTGGTTGTGTTGTTGTCGCCATAATCTTTTTGGTTTTGGATTATTTTATTTATTTATCACCCCTTTTTTGTTGTTTTTTCGACCGGGTGTTGTGCGTTTCTTATCGTCTTGAGTGCCGTTGTGTTTTTTGGTGGTGCTGGGGAGAGGGCGGGGAGGGAAGTGTGTTGATTATGAGTGGTGGATTTATGCGGCGGCGGTGTCTCGCGCGGCGTGTGTGTTGGAATGACGGGCGGTCGTTGTGGTTACTTCTTGCGTTGTTGTGGCTGTGGCGTCTGCTGATGAAGTTATTCTATTTTTCTTTTCTTGTACATATATATTTTTGGCCTGTACGTGTGAAATAGAGGGCCGCCGGAGAGCTTGCATACGTAAGGTTAACCCCCCTTGTTTGTTTGGAAAGCCACGAACACTTCCATCATGCTGTTTTCATGCGTGGAGAAGCAGGGCAAGTACCGCGACTTGTGGACGCTGCGCCGCATCGCATTTGACACGGAGACGGGCATGTTGTACTGCACCGCCAGGGAAAAGGATTTTCGTGTGATGTGGAAGCACCAGGTGAGGGTGGTTCGCATCATCGCAAAGCCCAGTGTTGTGGATATTGACTACAAGGCGGCGAATTTTGACGTGCGTGAACTCTTCTCCTTCAAAGTGGAGGGGAGCTTCCGCCACATTGACGCCTCGCTGCTCTCGCGCCTGGAGCAGCCCTCGGACAAGCACGCCGTTGTTCGTCCCCTTCCGAAGCGTTCCGACTCTGCTGGGAAGAGTGTGGGTGATGTGGGAAAAGGAAACATGCTTGCGTGGTACATGCGCACGGACAACGAGAACGATTTCATGAAAATCTACACCACCATTCGTGACGTGCTGATTCGTGATGGGATGCGGCCTCCCCAGTTCTGGGGTCTTCCAAAGATGGACCCGCGTATTGAAGTGCCGCTGGCGGAGCCGCCGTTGTACTTGTGGTGCCGCTTCCGTACTGTGAAGCGGACCGTTTTCTACGCGTGTGTGCATGGCCACATGGCAATAAGAGATGCTGACCTGTCGCTCCCGGGGCGCTCAGTGACCCTGTGCGACGAGCCGTTGTACCTGACGCTCTTTGACAACTCCGTGATGGTGTTCAATGAGGAGCGGCGTCTTGTGACTGGCATTCCCGCCGTTCACATCAAATCACTGCACTACTCGACAATGGAAGTGGATGCCTCCAAGAAGGACCCGAAGAATGAGAAGTGCCGCTGCTTCTTGTCGTTCCGCTCAAACAGTGAGGAATATCCGGACATTCTGTTTGTGCCGACCCTCGAGCGATTTGCCGATGCGAACGAGGAGAACGTTCCTGCCGCGCAGGTTAACCGCGTGCAAACGGCTCTCTCCATGCTGGTACTTATGAGGCAGCAGACTCCTCGGATGGCTGACCAATCGGAGACCCCGCCAACGGAGCTGACAGATGTCTCGAAACTCACGGCCGGCCTCGAGGATGGTGTGGAGTCCTCCGAAAATGGTCTGCTCGACGTTTACGCAAGAGAAGAAAATGCAAGAAATCTGCTCCGCCTGCCAGTGAGGTTTAAGTTGGAGAACAAGGACATGGGAGACAAGCTCCTTGGAAAGCTGCCAGTACCCCACCGCCTCAGCGAACTCGCATCACAACTGGGCATCAAGCCCAAGAAGGCCCTCACGAATTACCCGATCCGCTACGAGTACCTCTCCCCGGGAGCCACCGTGGCGGACCCGACGTGCCAAAGAAAAAAAAGCAACCCCTTGCGCGACCTCTTGCTTATTGGCGGCAAGTACTGAGCGTATATATATATATAGAGAGAGGGAGAGGAGGAAATAGGGGAACAGTAGTGAAAGGAAAGAAATTGAGGGGGAGAATAAAAAGCATTTGGGAAATATTATGCAGCGGCGCAAATACGCATTTATGTTGATTAAAGGAATGAAAGGAGAACAAAAAGATGTGGTTTTTAGTATGAACGAGGAAGGTAGCATTGTGCTCCACCTCAACGGGACAAAGTGATTTTCGCCCCGTTTTTATTATTTTTTGGCTTTTAAAAAGAAAAAACATCGTCATTGTTTTTTTTTTTTTTTTTTTTTTTGTTAATTGGGCAGCTTTCTGTGGATCCAAATATATATGTTTTTCTTTTCATAGCTTGTGCAAACACAAGGCAATTTTATTGATTTTGGTTCCATTGCCTTTTAATGGATTTTATGTTGTTGTTGTTGTTGTTGTTGTTTTGGTTTTTATTTCTGAAGAGGAATACCTGGAAGATGGCAGCCATGTGCATCAAGATTGTTTCATGCAGAGAGAGAGAGAGAGAAAGAAAGGGCCCATGTAGAGGAATGTTGTGCAATTCTCTTACAATATTATTTATGGCCGTTGTCACTGTCCGCCCGATGATTATTTTTATTTTTATTTTTTTTTTTTTTTTGATTGTTATTTGACGTGTTGTTTTACTTCCATTCATGTATTGCTGTTTTGTTGGGTGAAGGCAGAAGAACGAAAAGAAGAAGAAAAAAAAAAAAAAAAAGGGAAAGTTGAGTGCGTACTAAATATTTTTTTTTTATTTTTTTTTATTTTTTTTTCCTTTTGGTATTTGTCTTTTTCTTATTTGTGTGCGTGTGTGTGTGTGCCAGAACGACAGCCGTACATAACTTTCTGCCCTTTTTTTTTTTTTTTTTAGATTTGCCGTTGTGCGTGTCTAACGACGAGAACAGATACGGGTAGGGATAAGCAAGCGGGTGGTGACAGGTAGTAATAGGACGCTGTGGGGGGTGGGGTGGGTGTGTATATATTCTTTTTTTGCAGGCGGGCGAGGGCAACTGGGAAGTACTCGTGGAAAAGAAGGAACTACAGGGAAGGTGTCGATGCAAAGTGAGGTCGAGTTACTGCTGCGTTCTGGCGGTGCGGCACAGGTGGACTACGACACCACCGGGCTGCGGCCCCAAGGTCTGCGTCCGACGCCGGTCGAACGCGCCGCCATTGAGAAGGTTCTTAGCGCCACAGAAGAGCGGCGAAAACGTGAGTCTAAATTTTTGTACGGCGCTCTTATCTTTTGTTTTGTGTTTATGGTTGTGGAATTTGCCTGCGGCGTCTTTGCCCACTCATTGGCGCTCCTGACGGATGCCTCGCATCTGCTGATTGATGTGGGGGCATACGCTTTGAGCATCATGAGCCTCAAGGCGGCATCCAGGGCTTTGTGTGGGAAGTACAACTACGGCTGGCACCGCGCGGAGGTGATTGGAACACTTGTGTCCGTCTTCTCTATCTGGGCGCTGGTAGTGTGGATCGTGATTGAGGGCATGACAAGGACCTGGAACGTCGTGTCCTGCAGCCGCATGCCGGCAGCGGTAGCCGCCATAACGCGGCAGCGTGGGGGCTCAGGCGGAGAGGTTGTGGCGGATGCCGTTCTGGCTTCCTCGAGGAGGTGCGAGGAGATCAACTCGCCCATCATGATGCTCATTGGAGTGCTGGGGATGTTGGTAAACATTGTGTGCGCGGCCATCCTTTACTGCGGTGGCTCGCACGGGCACAGCCACTTCGGGGGGCATGGGCACAGCCACAGTCACGGGGAGGCGACGAATTGTGAGAGCGATTTGGAGATTAGCATTAACGGCCACACGAACGATCATTCCGGTCATCATCATACCAATGATGATGATGGCTGTGGCCATGGAAACAGTGATGAAAAGGAGGGACATGACTACGATGACAACCATGTCGAAAAGAAGAAGAGCAAAAAGGGCTTTGCCCTTCACGCCGCGCTGCTTCATGCTTTGGGCGATTGTGTGCAGTCCGCTGGGGTAATATTTGCGGGTGTGTTCATTTACTTTGCTAATAAGCATGCCTTTGGTGTCCCTTCCCATCAGTACTCTATTTACAACATTGCAGATCCACTTTGTTCGTTGTTTTTTGCTGTTGTTACACTCAACATGACAAGGCCACTTCTCGGTGATCTTTTTGGTATTCTCATGGAGAGCACACCGCCAGGTATTGATTACCTTGCCCTTAACCAAGCTCTACTGAGCATTGAGGGTGTCGTCAGTGTACATGATCTCCATATATGGTCTCTGTCTTCGGACTATGTCGCACTTTCCGTCCATCTTGTTGCAGACGACGCCGCAAAGGCATTGCGTAAGGCGCAGTATGTATGTGAGGTCCTTTTTGGAATTAGACATACAACCATTCAGGTGGATGCGGTGGCAAATGGGGCGGATTTGTGCCAGGGATCGTGCGCGAGCCCAAACTGCGGGAAGGAATAACAGACGATAACTTAGAAACACGTCCGATTAACATTTTAACATGCACGAAGCATTGAATACACAAAAAGGAAAAAAAAAAAAGAAAAAAAGAAAAAAAAAGAAGGGAGGGGGGGGGGGGGGGAGGGTTGGAAGGGTTCATATTACGCAGTTTTTTATTAAATGAATTCTATTCTTAGCCTATGTTTTATCATGAAATATGTTTTATGCATCTTTCTTTTTTTTCTCTCTCTCTCTCTCTCTCTATATATATATATATATATGTGTGTGTTTGTGTTTGTTTTTTTCTTGTGCGTTTGTGAAGTGTCACGTAAATGTTGTACTCAACGCAAATTTGTGCGAAGAATTAAATAATTTACGCGACCACAAACAAACAAATAAACAAAAAAGGAAAAAAAATAATAATAATAATTTTGAGGTTGGCTACTGAGCGATTTATTCGACGGCCGTGAATACAACCATCTTTCTTTTTTTTTTTTTTTTGTGTGTGTATGTGTGTGTGTCTCTCTGCGTGTGCATTGAGGGAAGTTTTACCCTTTTTTTGTGTGCGATTGCGGCTTTGCCCTCATTGTTTTCTTTACTTGTTTTTTTTTTTTTTTTTTTGTTTTTTTAGTTGTTTCTTTTCTTACAATTTATAGTGCACTACGTGTGGAACATCCTCCTTTTTTTTTTTTCTTTTTTCTTTCTTTTTTGGTTCGCGGTGGGCGGCTAACGAGGGATGAATACCGCCAAACGTGCAACGACGCGCAAGGCCCAAGTCCCCTTGGAGAAGACCGTCTCTGCGGCGGAGACAAGGTGCCACAGTGCACTCCTTGTTATCGGCACGTACCACTCCGTGATGGCAGGTCTTGTGTACCGCCGAAACAAGCTTGGCATGCTTTTCTCCGTGAAACACCACGAGGGCTGCATTAACAGCGTGGCTGTGGGCGAAAGGTACATGGCCACTTCCGGCACGGACGAGCGTGTCTTCCTCTTTACGAACAAAAACCAGAAGAGCCTCACACCCACTGAACGGCTACGATTGCGGGCGGCGGGGGAGTCGTTGAGTGTGCGGCTTGCGGATCTTGGCCACATCTCGCCGCCGAGCGAGGTGCGCTGCCTTCTTTTTATTGCCAACTCACAGCAACTGCTCTGCGGCTGCACGGACGGCCAACTCCTCATGTACCGGACTCGCGACTGGTCCGTCAGCCTCTCGCTCCCACTGCACGAGAAGGGCGTTGTGGGCGTTGCGACGCACCCGGGCAGTGACGGGGTGTTGGCCGTCACGATTGGCGCGGACCGGCACGTCGCGGTTATAGACCTTGCAAGGGGCCGACTGCTCAGCAAGTGGCGCTACAACGCATCCCTTGAGGGAACTGAAGTGAAGAAGCGGCAGGAGGGGGAGGAGGAAGAGGAAAAGGATGACGACAAAAAAGATGGCACGCCACGCGTGAAGCGGGTCAAGTTGGAGAGGCGCGACGGCCCGCATACGGTGAAGTTCTCACCGAGCGGGAGGTATTTTACTGTCATGTCGAGTCACGCCTTTGCCGTGTACGAGACGGCGACGGTGGGCGTCGTGGCAATTTATCGGGCGCCATCACCGCAGCCACGTGAGGAACTTCATGTATTTGCGTTTGTTGATGACGATGCGATGATCTTTGGGAATGAGTCCGGCGAGTTATTGGTCTGCCGTGGGCCGTGGAAATCGAGGGAGACACAGCCAGGAGAATGCACATTATATCCAGTTGCCACACATGTTCCATCAGAGTCCGAGCAGCATGCCGATGAGAAGAAAAAGTTACTGCGGCATCCGACGCGCCACACGACACGTTTGAAGGCCCTCTACTGTGTGGAGCGCACTGTGTTCTCCCTAGACGCAACAGGTACTGTGATCGCATGGCTTGTAGAGGAAGTTGCAGATGCCGTGATGACGCTGAAATTTAATTGCAGCGCAAATTGTCAGGGACGTGTCACGACGATGGACGTGTTATTATTATAATTGGCGTGTCCTCTGTCTTTCCATGTGCATCTGCAAAGGAATATATTTGTATATGTCCCTGTGTGACTGGACATTTCTAGATATGACGGTTTTGAATTTAACATTTTTGTTGATTGACGTGTAAGGAGACATAAATAATGTGGAAAGGAAAGAAATCGAATAAAGAGGAGGGAGTAGATAGGCACAAGCTTAGATTGTATATGTTTATCTCTGTGTGTTTGCGTGTGTCTTTTGGTTTCTACTTGCACAGAGACTTTTTTTCCTTATTTTTTTTTTTTTTCATCCCTTGTAGGTGCTTGAGAGAGTTGCACAACAATTTTGCATACATATATATACACAGAGGAATTATTCTGAGTGTCCGTGGGGGAGGCAATGAGCCAAGGGACGCATCTGCATATTTCCACACACCCGCTCTTTAAAGGGCTTGGGGACAGGCAGACAAGTCTGCTGCCCGGGCAGGTGCGCACTCCAAACCTCCCTGCATACTCGCCCATCACCGACTGGGCCGCAACCAGCACGGTGTGGGACGAGGAGGAAGAGACCGGCACAAGGGGGAAAGTAGCCGTGAGTCGCGAAGACAGCCAATGCCCGCCGTCCATCACGACACCACTGCAGATGTACCAAAAGGGCGAAGTGTGGAGTTCAGAGGGCGGTCTTAACAGAGGAGCCTCATGCAGCTTCGTGGATGTTCCTCAGCAGCTCTCTAACACGGCGGCAAAAGCAGGCAACGCGAGCAACAGTACGTTCCTTTTACCGGCCGCGACGACAAAAAAGGGGGCTGGAGTGCGACTAACGCCAGCCAATACGACATCTGAGAACAAGACATCCGCCGTGAGTGAGGCTTCTTTGATGACATCGGGGGGTACATTGAATCGTCAGGAAAAAGTGGAAGAGGGGGAGAGAATGGTGGTGAGAGAGGGGGCGGTGGTAGAAGGTGCTGCACCCGCATCCTCGTTAAATCCATCTCCCCCGCCGGCCGAATCGACGTACACGGCAAGCCGCATCAAATATTGTCCCACACCCTCACGTCTCGTCTCCAGCCTAGAGGATGTTGCGGCGAGTGTGATTGCAGCAGCAGGGCTGCCCATGTCAATTGTCTCCTTGGTGGATTATATCATGAAGGGCCAATTACAACTGCCGCAGCCGTTTGAAGGAGGCAACGAGGGTGGGATGAATCATTCGTGCACGCAGATTCACCTGCCACCACACGGTTGCTCATGGGAACACCCGAGCCAATTCAACGGCGGCGTGTCGTTTGTGGCTGATGGTCAACGACAGCTGCCGCCGTCGATGATACCTCCTCGGGCTGTGCAGCAATCCGCTCTCTTTGCCTCTATTGCGCCCTCCGTCCGAGCCGTCCCTAACGTCGTTCCAGCAAAGAGGAAGAGCCAAAGTGAGTCTCTGAGCGATCTGCTGTACTTCCATGCGAACTTTTTTCCACCACCTCCTCCACCGCGCGTCCCAAAGCAAACTCGCCGCAGCCGTGCGGAGCTTTGGTATCATTTCGCCTCCAAGTGGGATATTACACACCGCCTGCCGCCACCACCCCGCACCCCGCTGCCCGAGATGGAGCTGGAGCAGCGGGAAAATTTATTGAGACTCAGCCGCACCCCTTACCATGGTGACACATGGCTGAAGGTATGTGAGCGCTGGTTTGAGGTGACCAAACAACAATTCGATTATCCTCCTGCAAACACAGCGGTTCCTATTCCGCGAATTTTTGTGCTGAGTCAAGTTGTCGCATCTTGACCCCATGAGTCTGTTGTCTGCATGAGGAGCCATGACACCGCTGGTGCGGGCTAACAAATAACTCCTAATAAAAAAAAATAAAAAGAAATTAAATGGAATAGTTCCTCGGGACAAATTCCAAGGAAACGAAGGGACACACACACACACAAACGCACAGAGGGGGAGGGGAAAAAAAATAATAATAATAAAGATGGAAAAAGAGAGGAAAACTGGTAAGGAATTGCGTGTAGAAAACTAAATATATTTATGTCCGCATGCAAGGATAGGGAGAGGAAAAGAGGGAGAAGAACGTGCGAAGTTAAATGAACTTCTTTTTTTTGTGTGTTTATTTGTTGTTTTTTATTTTTCTTGCCTGCCTGCCTTTTGATGGGCCTATTTATTTCTGGTGGTAAGATTAGAGCGTTCGTTGTTGTTGTTGTTGTTATTTTGTGAGAGAGTGTGCATGTGCGTGCATGTGTGTGTGTCTTGCCACATGTATTGATGTTGTCGTTGGGAATGGGACAAGATGAGAGCCTCTCTTTTATCGAAATCGAACGAGAAAGACAATCCATTTGGGTTGTGTTAACTGTTTTTCTTTTTTTTTTTTTATGGTGTTATTTCTTAATCCTCCGCATTTGACCTCCATTTCCCACGCAGTGCCACAACAAACAATTGGTGCATTTACCACCACCACCCCCACGCCTGTGGAGATGTCATGTTTTTACATTTACCACTGCTGCACACTTGTGCGTTTCTTTAAGCTTGCGCTCCATCTTTTTTTCTTTTTTGTTTGTTTGTTTGTTTGCTCCTTTGATGGACGCATTTGTTCCACAACAGGAGAGGATACATATATATATATATACGTGAAGCCTTATTGAGAGAGAGGTACGAGTCGACTGGGGAAGAGAGAAGGGACGGGAACGGGAGAAAAGGATGGATTTATTTCTTACATCAGCGAGGGAGGCGGACGATATGAAGTTGGTGAATTTTGTTGCCATGCATGATGCCATTGCCGCAGCACGCACTTCGGAAGAAGGGAGGGAGTTGCTCGCTGCACTGATGGATGCCTACTACGCCGCTGACCGCCTCCATGCGGTGTACCAGCCAGCACTCATGAAGGCCATTGGGTGTTGTCTCCGTCATGCGGGGCCGTCCTCAAGTGATAACGACGGCATGAACCGCTGGCAACTTACGGCGGACGATTACATTCTTCTTGCCTTGTTTTTCAACGAGTTGTCAACGGTAGACGACACCAAACTCTTTTGTATCTTTACTGAAGCCGTCACGCTATTCTTTCAGCAGACCGTCCCCATTGTGTACGGTGCTGTTGGTTACGATTTGTCGGTTGATGCGTCAACGGTGGAGTCGCTCTGCAGTGAACTGCAGACGTTGCGAGTCATGATGGCCAAACGTCTTGCGACCCTTCCCGCCGATTCGTCTACGTGTGAAGGCAGTATAGGTATGCAGTTGGGTATTATCGACTGTCTGCGTACATTGCTATTATCACTCATGCAGGCAGCAGCAACGCGAGCCGATACAAAAGACACGGTGACGGAAGCGCCTGGGAAAGAAGGAGAAGATGTGAATTTGGCGGTGCGGCAGGCGGTGGAGGGCATTCTGTCACCACTGAGAACGGCGGTGGATGCGGTTCGGTCATCTGCCACTGGGGGGAGTAGCGAGAAAGCTTCCGCGTCCATACGTCCGCATGCAGGGACGACGGTCTCTCCGCTCGTGTTGACGAGCGCGTTGCGCGTGCTGGAGGAAATTTTGTGGCGCTGCGCATGCCACGTGACGCCTCACGATGTTCTTGAGAAAAAATTCGCAGAAACACCGCTTATTGCTGCAGCGCGCCTTGCAGTGACGCGTGTTCTTGGCGCCCTCCAGCAATATTTGGTGCTGCAGCAGCAGCATTCGATGGAATCTGCGGCCGGTTCTATCGAGAAAAGCTCTCTCGCGGTTGATGTGTTGCGCACGGCGGGGGTTCAATGGGCAGTGCGGCGCCTGCTGTCGGTGGTGCGGCTACACCTACATTTGTTTCCATCGATGGGGAACGCGGTTGTGGCGGCTCTTAACGCGTTTGGCGGGAGTATGGAAATGGAGGATCCATTTCAACTTATGCGCATGCGGCGTGAGTGTGAAACTGCACTGAACGATGAAAATAACAATGATGCTACTAACAATAATAACGGTAGTGGTAGTACTAATACTAGTATTAAGGACGCGGCCTGGAGGAAAGCGTGGGAGGTGGCGGCGATGTCATCATCTTCCTCATCCGACGCCTTTTCTTTGCGTCTTAGGGAATGTGAGCAGATTTTAGAAGCGCCGCATGAGGAAACAACGGCGAACGACGGCGTCACCGCCGACCTTGGCGACCTCGACGACACGACACTCCTGCAGGGCGACGGCGGTGGTGGCGGTAGCAGAGAGGCCCTGTTGCAAAGCACCGTCGGCCCCGTGTCTGTGAATGCGCTTGTGGAAATGGTGCTTCTGAGCGTGCGTCAAATGGACATCATGACGGAGCAGGCGATCCAGGCCCTTCACACACAGGGGCTGGAGCGGATGCAGTACGAAGCGGCAAAGCGGGCGCAGCGGGAGGAGATCTTGCGACAACGTCGTATTGAGCAGCAGGGAGTGGAAGGCATTCCAGTAGGGCGGCTACTGGAGCACCTCAAGGAGAGCACGGCCCTGTACGCAAAGGGCACACATCTGCTTGAGAGCGAGTCGGCACTAGCAATGGTGCTGCGCTCGGCCTTTTTCTCACTCCTCGATGCTTACGACGCATTTTTAGAGGAGACGGAAAGTCGCGTGCTTGAGGCGCAGGCTCTCATTGCGCGAGCACTGGTGCAACTTCCGCCGTCGATGATAGATGCCGCAGTGGACGCTGTGTGTGTGCGTCTCCGCAAAGAATTTTCCCGTCGCGCTCATGACAAAAAGGCGCCTTTGCCACTTCATTCGGCGTACCAACTCGCAATGCAGGTGTTATTTACGCTCTTTTCCTTACAGGCACCTGTGCTGGAGCGGGGCACAACCGCCTTTGCGTTTTTGACTGCCACGAACTCCATGACAGAGGCGGAATTACAACTCCCGGGCTCTTCCATGAAGTTGCGGTCTCACGCTGCCTTTACGATTGACACCGAGAACCCCGTGGAGTGGCTGCAATCCACGACGCATGATGCTGCTGGTGGGTTGAATAACCGCAAACGTCTGCGGGACGAGGAGACGACGGTACAGATGAAAGATGAGGAAACTGGAGAGGAAGGGGTAGAAAACGGCGTGTCGCACTTTTTTCGTGAGGATACAACGCAGTCACCGTGTATATACAGCTACTTCCTCTGTCGTGTTGTGGAGTTAGTGACGGAGGCGGAACTACCGGCACTTCTTCTTGACGTCCTGCTACAATGTCCCTGCATCACCCGCTACGTTTGGCATTACATACATAAACAGTACTGCCTCTCTACAGAAAAGTCACGTTGTCTGTTGGGCATGTGGCTTCTCAAAAGCCTTGCACTTAAGCGGACGGTGTATCGTCGCTACGCCGTGAACAGCCTTTTGCATCTGGCCGCTGCGCGCAATGAGTACCAGCGACGACTCGCCGTGACAAAGCTTGGCGAGCTTCTATCCGCTACAGGAGCGGACGGTCGCCGTGTCATTGACACGAATGCAGAGACACTGCTGGTTCGTTACGCCAAGCGGCAAATGGCAGCCATACCTGTCACGAAGCTTCCTTCCTCAACGACATTGATTGCTGCTGCAGTAAACCCTGTGGCGAAAATGGAGGGTGCAAACACGAGCCACGATGAAGGCGGCACCGCCTTCCTCCGCGATAAGGAAATGCGGAAGCTTGCAGACGCGTTGGATCGCCATCTTGGCCCTTTCCTTATGTTATGTGCACGTCAGCCCAAAGAACTCTTCCCTGCGCTGCTCGCCGTTTTCAAGGAATGTGTGGAGCGTCAAAATGAAGCCATGATGCATCTCCTTGCGGAGCATGTGGATGTGCGCCGTATGTGTCAACGTCTATTCCGGGTGGATGCGATGTCGTTTATGTCCAACGTGATGCCGTACCTTCGCCGGCACAGTAGCGATGCCACTGTGCTGGTACAGAAGATACTGTGGGCTGTTTGTTCAGAGTTGCGGGCGATGGGACAGGCGACTGAGTCATCGGCATCACAGCTGGAGCAGACTGCCTTGGCGTTGCTGGGGCACGCACGGGTAATGTACGAGAGCAGTGAGATCCCACAAATGTACCATCCCTCTTCCTCTGCCGGTGGTGTAGGAGATGCCACGGTGCCTCTACACGATGTGCGGTTTATTTCTCCCTTTTTCAGTCTTATTAGTGCGGAGGAACTGAGGCGAACTTATCTTCGTTCATTCTTACACTTTGTGCAGCTGCAGCTTCAGTTCCAGCTTCAGCAACAGCAACAGTTGGGTTCCGATGCGGGAATGAATGCGACTGCAGAAGTAACACGAATGAATAGTGAAGAACTGGACGCATTTATTCGAGACGTTGTGAGAGAGGTTCTTGTGCGTTCGCCCGTGCACTTCTCCGATGGTATTGCTCGTGGTCTTTCACGAACAGACCTTCTTGTCTACTTGCACTCCGCCTCACACGAGTCACATGCTGCGGATTCTCAAGTGGCGGCGGGCAAAAATTCAACGTTGTCTGCAAGCGCGGGACGAGAAGAATTACGCGGTATTTTGGGTGCCGGCTTTTCTTCCACGGCAGCTACAGAGGAGGCTGCAGGACCGAAGCCAATAGCAGAATATCTTACCATTAGTCCGCTCACAACGAAAAGGGTCATTGCCGTGCTCTTGAAACTTACACGAACCTTTGATGGCACCACGACAGAGTTTTTGTACGGACCCGAGGAAATTAAGAGCGCGGTGCGTCAAGTGATGCAACAGCTTGGCGGTGGTGGTGGCAGTGGCAGCGGCAGCAGCGGTATTATTAGCAATGTGTCGTCTGTTCCCCCGCAGCTGATGGTAACTTTGATCCTTGCTTGCAAAATCCACGCCCAACGGCCACACGCGGACCTTGTTCGCTTTGTCCATCATGTGGTGCTTTTGCCGCTTGCGAAGGATGCCACGTGGGAGAAGGACACGAAGCTCTGGCGTGGTGTCTTGTTGTTTGCGGAGGAGCACTACCGGGAGTGCAGCAGCTTTCTTGTTAACTTGCCGGAGAAGGTGCTCATTCAGGCATTGCGCAGCCAACCCCAGCTTCGCGAGTACTTCAGGGAGGAGCATGGCAATAACGCCGCCTTTGGCCACATTCTGGGAAGTTTGTAAAGGAGGCTAACACGAAGAGGCGGTGGGGGACAACCGGACGGAAAAGAAACTTAAACAATTTGCGGCGTGCTGTGGGTTGAATGACGCCCAGAGGGAAATGAGAGAGGAAATGAGAGGAAATCATCGGACCTGAGAAAAAGTAAACCCCACGGACACAAAAGAGAATATATATATAGCAGCTGAAGGTCTAAAAAGGCGAAAAAAACTTAATTCTTTTTTAATATTGTTGCTTGCACATTAATTCTTCACGCATGACATTTAGCCTTTTATTCATGCTTGCTTTTTTTGTTTGTTGTTGTTGTTGTTGTTGTTGTTGTTTGGAGGTTTATTTTTCACGTTTTCGTTCCTTCCCTCTTTTCTTTCCTTTTCTTTTTCTCTCCGCATGGCGAGAGGTTTAATTGACCCGTGGGAGTTGTTATGATGAAGAGAGAGGAGGGAAAGTTGGGCGTCTGTTGCAGAAGAGGAGAACACATGACTACGGGATAAAAAAAAAGGGGGCATTGAATATTCTACGTGCTTGAAAGAGTCGGGGAGGGCAGGGGGGGAAATTGGGAGAAATGAAGTGCGTGTCTGCAGGATGGTGAGAAGAATAGAAGAAAGGGAGAGAAATGGAGTTTGAGAGGGGGGTTTTTGGCCACCGGTTGTGGGTGGAGTGAAAGGCCTGCTGCTTTTTGTGCCCATTGATTTTGTGGTTGTGTCTACCTTTTATATACTTATATATATTTTTTTCTTTTTCTTTTTCCACGCCCTTCTCTGGTGGCTGGTGTTGTCAACACGCAACTGTATGTGTGTATGTGTGTATGTGTGTGTCTGTTGTGTCGGTCATTCAGGCTGTGCCCGACGGCAAGGAAGAAAAGAGAAAAGTGGCAGTGGGGCGTGTATCTTCCTTTCCTCCACGGTTTGTAGGGAATGAACTTGCCTCCTAGCGACCCTCCCTCGGAAAATACAGAAAGAGGTAGCGACACAGCAATGGCCATTGTGCTTGGTAGCATTTTTGTCGTTGCTGTACTCTTCATGATTTTATGCATCGTATGGAGCGTCTTTTGGAGGAGACGCAGGATGGCGGCCATAGAGTCCAGAAGAAGACGGCATTATCCCGAAGTGGAGGCGGTGCCACAAAACGTCACCGGCGGGGATGTGGAAGGGGCGCTGCTGGTCGGAGAGGACAACCGCAGTATTCTTGAAAACGCGAGTGTCGTTTTGACGCGTGTGCGCTCGTTGTCGCCGTCTTTAAGCCTCCTTTCGGCCACGAAAGAGGGGGATTCGGGGGAGTTGACAGTTGATGCCGTCGCCCTCCGTGGCGAGAGCGACGAAGTGCGAGTTCCGCAGAGTGGTGAGGGAGGCGCGAATTTGCTCCCGCAGCCCAGTCAACCGCGTACGTTTCGCCTGCCGAAGGAAATTTACGACACCTCAACCAATTCGGTGCGGAAGCTTTACGTGCGGCGACCATCGGCGGCCGTCTACGGCTCGTCCGTTTATATCAGCAAGAACAATTCCGTGGAACCGACATCAAATTACTGTGGAAGACCCCAAGAATTGGCAGTGAGCGAGGAGGAGGGAAAAAAGGAATGAAACGCACTTCCTTTAATTCTCATATCGGGGCCTTCCTTTTTTTTTCTGGGGGGGAGGTAATGATGGGGCCGTGCACATCTTTGCAGGCGATGGTGGTGGCGCTGCCATTTACAGACAGTGCGGGAATGAGATCTACCATGCCTCTGTATGGCGCTGGTAAAAAAAAGGGGGGAGTGGAGGGGGAGAAAAAGAAAACGGTCTTTGCTTTTACTACGAACCTCCGAGGATGTATGAATGACAAAGAGCCACATTGCTTTTCTTATACCAGAGACCAGAGGGAATGTGTGTGCGCGTTTGTAGGTGTTTTTGTGGAGTGTGATTTAATAAATTTTTTTTGTTGATAAAGTTATATCAAGTTTAGCTTTTTATTTAGTTTGACTTTCCTTGTTTGCCTAAAAGGGATGTAAGATGTCATGTTCGATCGCTCCTGGGAGAAATGGAGATCTGTGAGCGTCGTCAATGATGTGGGGACTCCTGGTCAATGCACGCACCTTCTCCGTGGGCCAGTTGTTCTTGAGAGCACGACAGGAGGGGAGGGGTATGTGTGTGTTTGTGACGATGTCTTTGGCAAAAATCCTATTGCTATTCTCTCTCTTTCTCTCTCTGTGTGTGTGCGTGTGTATTCTGTGTCTCTTTACGTCTCTTCTTTTATTTCCGCCCGCCCCTTTTTGCTCCTTCCGAGACTGACGGTGAGCAGGCGGCTTTTGAAATGTTTTTAACGGTTTTTTACTGAAGAGGCCTTTGCTTTTTTTTTTTTTTTGTGTTTGTTTGTATATTGAGACTTCTCTTTCTTTTTTTTTTTTTTCTTTTTTTTTTTTTTTAACCGCCACTGCGCGCACCTCAGCATGGGGAGGGGGGAAAGAAGCGGCGTGGTGGCAGTACCGCCCTCCACCCCTCTCCCACATATACACCGAGTGGAATATGTTTTTGTTTGTTTGTTTGGAAGCACGGGACGAGAGCGACGAAAAAAAAAAAAAAAAAAAAAAGAGGTGCTGCGCCTCCACTTTGTGTGTGGGTGCACCTCTCCGCGATGGAGACGCGAATAGGCATTTCTCCCCATTCCTGCGATGTAAGCGGCGTAGTGTTTGTTTTTTTTTTTGTTTTATTATTATTATTATTTATTCTCCTTTTTTTTTTTTTTTGGATGTTTTACTTCTGATTGATGTCGTAACGTTGTTGTGATTTTGTTTTCATTCTTTTTTTTTTTACTCGCCGTCATCGAATTTTTCTTTTCTGAGTTTATTTCTCCTTTTTTTTTTTGTTTATTTGATTGTTTTTTTTGTTGATTGATCTTTTTTTTTTGCTTTTTTCCTTCTTTTCCTTTTTTTTTTTTTTTGTTTGTTTGTTTATTTGTGTGCGTTTCCTGCCGGTGATGGTGTTTTTTCTCATGTCTGTGGGCATCGCAGCGGAGATCTGAAGGAATAAACAAAAGGGAGTGTTTGTGTGTTTGTGAGGAGGAGGAGGAGGAGGAGGGGATGAGCACTCGGACAATTCTCACGGCGGGGGAGGCGGCGGAGCTTTTGGCTTCTGTACGGTACGTTCTTCTTGACGTGGACGGTGTGTTGTGGGCCGGGAAGCATGTGTTGCCCAATATTCCAGAGACACTGTCGTACCTTCGCTCACGTGAGAAGCAAATTCGTTTTCTTACGAATAACGCCAGCATTTCTCGTGCTGGTCTGGCGCGGGAGTTTCAGCGGCGAGGCATTCAAGGGGTACGGGAGGGCGAGGTGTACAACAGCGGCTTTGCGGCGGCGCTGCGGCTTCAAAGTTTGTTCACTGCAGAGAAGAGCACAGGGTCGGACAGGCCACTGGTGGAGAGGAATATATTTGTTATCGGTGAGGAGGGGCTTCACGAGGAGATGCGGTGTGTATTGGCACCTGGATACATTGCCTACGGGATGGAGCTGCATGACGCGGAAAAGTGTGGCGGCTACGACGCACACGTTGTGGCGTCTGCGTGGAAGCAACGCGTCCTTCCAGCGCCACTCCAATCGTCCGCCACTTCCTGTGGGATAGCAGCAACGGGCCATGCAGCGGGCGGTATCTCAATTTCTGATTTATCGCCTGCTGCGGTGGTGGTGGGGCTTGATATGCATTTTAATATGCTCAAGCTCGCGTACGCTTCCCTCTGTTTACAGGAGCGGCCTGCAGCGCAGCCAGCGGGCACGTCGTCATCTACACCCACGTACTTTATTGCCACAAACGAGGATCCTCAAATACCAGTTGGTGAAGACTCCCTGCTACTCCCGGGTGCTGGTGGGATGGTCAGCGCCCTGCGTACTGTTTCTGGGCGTTCTCCTGACTTTGTATGCGGCAAACCGCATGTGGACATGGCGAAGGTTCTCTTTGAGGCTGAGGGAATCACGGATCCCCAGCAGTGCCTGATGGTGGGGGACAGGCTGACAACGGATATCGCGTTTGGAAATGCCGCTGGATGTAAGACGATGCTTGTGCTGAGTGGAGCAGAGAAGATGGACCGCGTCAGGCAGGCGGAACGGGATGGTCACGTGTCCCTTTTACCAGACTTTATAGCACCGTCTCTCGCCATCTTTTTACCACCCGCATAGGCGTAGAAATGATACGAATTTTACTTTTTTTTTTTTTTTTTTTTTTCGTCTTAAACGGAATAAAGTAAAGGCGTTGGATTTCGCATGTATAACCGTAAGCGTGTGTGTCTTTCTGTTTCCTTCACTGCTGCTCATGTTGAGAAAACACTCACACTCTTTCGACTCACTTTTTTTTCTTTTTCTCTCTCTCTCTTATATTTTATTTACTTTCCTTTTGGATGGTGCGTAGATACATACATACATACATACATACATGTATACTGCATTCAGGAGGGGTGTTTGTGGGGTGACTGACCGTCAGTCCGCAGTGCAAGCAGGAGGGAAAAGGTGAATCGTGTCGGGGGGGAGGGGAGGGGATGAGGGATTTGTGTTGGACTTCTGTTCTTCGTAGTGTCTTGATGCCTTATGTGATGGAGTGACGCGTTAATCTTCATGCTGACGACGGCCATCGCAACGCGGGGCACACTTTTTTTTTTTTATATTCTCGTCACACTGTGACCGGGTTGTTGTGCAGGCGGTTGCGGCGAGGCTCCTCCTGCCGTGTGGCAGCGCTCTTTTCCACCACTGCCAACAGCCGCACGCACACGCGCTGATTTTTACACGACGGCTTCAATTTTTCAGCATGGCACTTGTGACACTGGCATTTCTTTTACCCTCGTGTTACTGGCACAATTATTTTTTTTTTGTATGTGTGTGTTTGTGTCTGGGAGGTGAGTACTGTGGCATCCGCACGAGAGGGCGAGTGACGTCTTTTCCATTTATTCACTTCAATCACCCCATGCGTTTGGGTGCGACGATGAAACTACTGGGAGGACTTTCTCTTTTATTTATTTATTTATTTTTTTTTTTTTTTTTTTGCGTGCAACTGGAGGGGCCTATGTGGTGCTTGTGGCGTAAACCGTCGTTTCTGCATACGACGTGGCTGCTGATTACTTTGAGACCCTCATTGCAGTGGAGACGATGTGTGGGGATGGCCACGCACCTCCCACAGTATACATGCATGCACATTAATGTATAACGATTGACTGTGGTTTTTATTGAATCTTACTTCCTTCTTTTCTCCTTTTATATTATATATTTTATTTTATTATTATTTTTTTTTTCTTTTTTTGCGTGGCTGTTGGTGTGTGGGTCATATCCGTAGCCGTGAGCCTCCATGCAATATTGGCACCCAACGCACTGCACCCTGCAGCTGAATTTTGTGCAGTCCGCTTCTCAGCGTGATGACGGCCGCGCCCTTTTGTTGGCGGGTGATGTATACAGTGGAAGATCTACTATTCGATATGTGCGTCGTTTATTTTCCTCCGCGACAACGCACGAGGAGTTTCCTGCACTTCGGGTGGAAAATAAAGACGGACTACACTTTCATGCCATTACGGCCTCCACGCACGCATTTCCAAAGGCCAGGCCTCTCGTTCTGCACTCCATTAAAGTGCATCAGCAGTACAACGATGCGGAAACCTTAAAGGTGCTGAAAGTTGTGGAGAGTGACTTTGATAAGGACGACAACGGTGGGGCGGAAAGCGGTGAGCAACACAGCGTCACATCAAAGGGGGGGAATCCACGCGGAAAGAAGACGAAGAGCAAAGTTCACGATGCCAATGACACCGAGCGCCAAGGGACTCATGATTCGCACGATAAGCAGCAAGGTCGTTCAGATCCGGGGTCGAAACATGTCTTCTTTGAGGGAGCTGAACGCATGCCTGCCGGCTCCATCGTCACGTTGGAGATTGCCTTTACCGGTAGCATCCAGGGGTGGGATCAAGGAGGCATTTACGTGAATGACAACCCGGAAATTGTGAAGACGGCGGCGGCAAATTACGGTGTGCTCCTTACCCACTTTGAAGTCGCCTTGGCCCGTCTTGCCTTTCCATGCCCGGACGATTCTCAGTGCTACCGCCTCATCTGGCATCTGCAGTCACTGCAATTGCCCTCAAGCTACAGTGTGGTGGTGAGTAACACCGCAAAGCTGTCAGAGAAGGCGATGGGTCAGAAGGGGACGCAACACACCTTTTCTTCTGTGGGTCCTTTACCCGCCTACGTGTTGGCCTTTGCCGCCTTTAGTAGTTCCGTGCAAGTGGTGGAGGAAACTCTTTTTCTCCGTGGGCCGTTCACGCCCGGTGCGGAAGGCCGAAACTCGAGCCACAACACTGTAGAAAAAATGGTACCGTTGCGAGTTTTGGCAGCCACATTGAGTGGGGTGACATTGGATACACTCAGGCAAATTGCCGACACCGTTCGGGAGGCTGTAAACCTCTTAGAAGATTTTTTTGCCTCACCCCTTCCTTTGCAGCAGATGCCCTTTTCAAATGAGTTTGAGTGGCAGGAGGATGTCCTTACGATTGTTGTCGCTCCTACGATGCCGTACATATCAGGCATGGAGCATCACTGCTGCATTTTTCTCAATGAGGCCATTTACCGATCCTTTTCCCG